GCCCCACGGCCGCTCCTGCCCGCAGCCCCTGCCCCGCCACGCGCTCAGAGCCGCGCTGGTGCCCCGCTGTCCTCGCTGCGTCCTCGTCCTCCCTGAAGGCCTGCGACCCTGCGACCACACACACCGTCCTGACGCTCTCCTGCCTTCGGCTTTATGATACCATCTCTGGTTCTGCCGGTCGGGTCGCTCCTCTTCCCAGACCTCTTTACTGGTTCATTTGCCTTCTTCCACCCCCTTACGTGTTCCTATTGCCCGGATTTCTACTATTAGACATGTTCTGTTTTCATTCAGAATGACCTCGCCAAGTAATCTGGGCAGACCCCAAGGCTTTAATTCTCCCTTTAGTATCAGTGGCCTTCCAGCGGCTCTCTGAGCTCTAGGTGCGTATTCAGCTGCCTAATAGACATAGAGTCTTCGGCTTTCGTAAGCTGACCTGCACATCTTCCTGCCATTTCCACTATGACAGAATTTAAGCAATTTAGAAATCATATAAATATAAAAATTAAATAAGCAATTTATTCTAAAAATTGTTTATTTTCTAAGCCTCCTTTTATTTCTTCTGCAATGCTGGTTCTTACATGTAGAGTCCAGAGGTGTCATAATAGAAAAACTGTAGTGTATGTAGATAGTTCAGAACTATCTATCTTACGATAGTTCTACCTAGTGCAAAGGGTTTCACCAGTGGGACATTTTACCTAATAAGAGGTTTCATCCAAACCACATAAACAAATGTCTTTAGAGGAAACTGGTCAAAATCATAATACTGGGTTACGCTGAGGTCATGTGTTGAGATTATCTGTGTAGAACAGAAAGTACTTTGGAAAATACCTAGAATCTTGAGAATATATGCAAATGATAATAACTCCCATCGACACAATAATGAAATGACACATCATAATCATATACATTAGTTTATATAATTTTTGAAAGTCTTGTGAATGGGTCAAATTTTGTTCTCAGTTGACTGGTTCTCAGTTGAATAAATATTCAGCTTTGAGAAGTTAAATGACCTTTCCAAGTTCACACAACTTATTAGTGGGGTTGCAAATGACAGCACCCTGTCTGGTGTGGTCCTGCGTCCGTTCCTCCCGAAGCATTTGTGCTAAGGAGGAGCTGAACTTTTATTTGAAAATACGATGAACACATTTCAAGTGAAGAAAGGGTGCATTTTATAATATAGATATTTCCGTATTTCATTCTTCAAAATTCATTTCAATAAATCCTCCTGTAGGCTTGGACAAAATGGGCAACTAATTCTATTCCCTAAATATTTTCAATGATCTTCAACTGTTGGCATTAAATTACAGCAAGGAGCCAAACCACAAGGCTCTGAAGTGTGTCATCTCTTTTTAGCACCACTTAGATTTCCAGAAAGGTACCAGATAACGTGTGATTCAACTATAGTTAAATGACAGTGAACTGATCTTATCAAGCAGGTAATGGCCAGGATTTCACTTTTACCATTATTACTGATCATCATTTAGACTTCAGACCACTTGGTGTTTAAATCCACTACATTTTACTTAATCACTGATATATTTGTGTATTCAACTTAAAACTCTGTTTTTAAGGAAGGAAGAGGAAAACTGAAGTTCTCCATAAATAAGGCAATCAGAATGAGATTTTAGTTACACTAAATGCTGAAACTAATTCACCGTCATGTATAATGTCCTACCCTATTTTAAACTTATATTTTCATAATGCCTTTGCCAACATAGCAGAAACAGTGCTTTATCTGTTAAATCATGACTGTGTTTATTTTTCTTTTAAACATAATAAATTCATAAGCTATCTCAGATACCTGCAAAGCTACTTTGAGTTTGAAATTTAATTTGGAATGAAAATCAATTTTACGTCTCTGTATTTGATGTCTGTGGTTTACATAAAATAGGACTTAGCCAACCATTTCTAGGTTGTGTGACCAATAGCTTTGCTCTTACATCACAAAGATATTTATGTTTGTGCCACTTTTTAAACCCCTGGAATAATCGAGGACTGGAGACGGTCCTTTTTCCCTTGAGCGCCTTGGTGTGTCAATCTCTGCTCCGATATCATTAGTTGGTTATCAGAATTCTAATATGCTTTATAATAGGGACATGAGATAAGCATATGGACTTTTGATTATTCTGATAAAGGATATTGATCAGAATAATATTGAGCTGATAAAGGATATTGATCAGATTGCGTATGGTGCAAAACAGTTTTATGTTGTAATCATAAAAATAAAACCTTTAGCATCCTTCATATATTATGCAGCACTACTGAATTATAAAGAGTTAATCTCACTCTTTTTGGACTCCAGCATTTACCATAAAAATGCTTTATAGCATCTATGTAATTTTTTCTTCTTTTTGTCCCTTCTTTGTAGTTGTTTGAAATTACAGTGCCTCTCTCTCAAGGCCCCAAACCAGTAACAGTCAGTTTTGCCAATCACACTTCCTGCCGATGCATGTCTAAGCTGGATGTTTACAGACAAGTCCATTCCATTATTAGACGCTCCCTGCCAGCAACACTACCACAGTGAGTATGAATTAAATCTGCTTTTTTTCTGCATCCTCTACTAATATAAAATTATTTCCAAGTAAGCACAGTTGATTAAAAGAATTTTTGTGAAATCTGCTAGGATATGCTTCTGCACCAAATAAAAAAGAAGACAAATTTAAAAGCACACCATGAAAATAAAATTAAACTGAAACAGGAAAACCCACACTATAGACAAAATAGCTCACAATATGAAAGAAGTATTTCTATGGAATGACACATAAGACACCAGCATCCCATGTTCAACGTTCATGAAATCGGATGTGCAAACTCACAGATGTTAAAACTGAAAATGTTTGAGCCCAAAATGTTTGATCCACAACAAAAAGTAAATCTAAATGAATTGTTTTACATATGTTAGCATTCAGTCTCCTTTCTCCAATCTCAATCTGTTTTTCTCTCTATATCTATTTTTTTTATTTCAGCATGGATTGAATATTGAGGTATTGATTAATACTTGAAGTAATTTTCTTTTACTATTGCCTCTAATTAACAAAGTAACATTGGCCATTCAGATTGCCTCCCCATCCCGTGTATTAATTTGGTTAACGGCCGTTGTGCTTCAGTAGATCTTATAGATGGACCTGGATAGACCATCAGGTATTGAATAGTTCATAATGAATCCTTATGGCCTGCCATCTGAGATCTAGGAACTTTCTGTGTTCTGCCCTCAAAGTGAGGGTGCAGCTCTTTGTTCTTTAGGACAGTGCGTGTGGAATGTGCGTGTGAACACACCTGACATAACTCCAGCATTTGTAACAAAGGCATAAATAAATGGATGGGCAAACATGTTTATTACAGAAGATCTTTTTTAGAAACCATGCACTTTAGGGGACTTGACAATAAACGTGATGTGCTAATTAGCAGTTTTCCCTGTTGGTTCTCTTGGGGCTGCTTTACTTAGTGTGACAGATAGGAAGCCTTATCTTTCCAGGAACACTGGAGGAAAAACTCAAGGATCACCCGATTTGGCAGACAGAAAGAGAAGTTCTTACAGGCATCTGTGCATACATTCACGCTGATGCAGGGGGAGACCAGGGCCCCTGAATCAGGACCTGCCATTTCATGCACGCAGCCCTGGGAGTTCTGGTCACCCTTCCCCCTTGGCAACTCATCCATTCTAAGCACATCAGTCCTTATCTCCATGCTGACGGTTTCCACAATTACAGTTCAGGAGGACCATATTGGTGACTTACAATACTTTATCTAAGTCTCTTTTATATCTCTGTGTTTATATCAGACATAACACATGAAAAATCAAAGATTTATTAAGCCCTTTTATTTACCTCTGCATTATTCAGAGCGGTGTTCTCTCATATTCTTTGAGGCCTTGAAATCACACAAGTGTCATTACTTACTTCTTTCCCTATAATGTCCCCAAACACTGTTGATTACTTGAGGGGAGAGGGGAGACATCCGCTCCGACATGAACTTCAGTTCCACTTCCGTCACTGCCATCTTTATCCGCTTTGTTCGGTCTGCATTTCTGATTTAACGTAGTGGCTTCGATACTAGCTTCCTTGTATCAACTATGTCCCCAGCTCCTCTGTGATGTCGCAGGTAAGCTTTCGAAGGCATCATCGCATTCATCTGACCAGAAACGGCTTCTCAAAAGACTGGGCGCAGATTTTCCACCTCTCTTTGCTGGTATCAGCCTTTTTTTCTCGTTTTTCTTCCCATTATTCACCAAGTCTGTGTTTCACGAAGTCTGATTCCCCAAACACTAAGCTCATTTCCTGCTCTGTATCTTGTTTCTATTCCAGCCTGGCTTAAAATAAATTTCCTTTCTTTTCTGCCTTTCCAAAGCCCTTTCCATTTCTCAGAGTTCAGGTAAAGGTCTTTCTCCTGCATTTGTCTTGTCTGAATGCCATGGCCACCTTTCCATCTTGAATACCCTGAGCGATGACTATCTTTACTTTGTCCTTGCACCGATGTTTAGGGGTCTGTACAAGTTGCACGTGAACCTGGACTGTAAGAGTGTTTTAGGTAGGTTTATGTCTTCTATAGTCCAGCTAATAACACTTAAAAATAATTGAGCCATTACTACTTTCAGCTTGTAACACACACGGTCTCTTTTAACCTTGACAAAAATCATCTATGAAGTTGGTAGTAGTAAGAGCCTTATTTTACAGATGAAGCAAGTAATCTCACTCTAAACTTAGGGGCTGAACAGATACACTGCACTGATCAACAAATGGCTTGTTAAATAAAATAACTTACTTATCTGTATATGGCTCAGAGCAATTGCCAATTATACTCATGTGTCCATCGTCACTTATTCATATAACTATGATACTAAATCCTGTTTAAGGTCAAGAAAAGACAAATGTTTAGAGCAAAAAGAGCTTGGATCTTAGAATAGGCCAGAGCTGAATTAAAGTCTGCCACTAGTTAGCAGTTTACAATTGTGAATTTCATGTCTCTGAACCCGTTTGCTTGTATTTAAAATGTAAGGATGTAAAGAGTATTGGAGGAAATACTGAATGCTTTTGCAGTGACTAGTTAGCATAGCGCCCGGCATCTACCGGTCAGTCAGTAAAGGGCAGATTTATTATTACCGTTAAGATTCATGTTGGATTCATTTCCTTGTCTGTGTGCTTTTCAGTATGCTTTACTACATACAATAAGAAATGTATTTTATATTCCAAGCCAGCATCCACATAACTACGTGTGTATGTAATATCCATATGTATAAATATGGATGTGTCATATATGTTACATACATAATTTAAAGTAGACAACTATATACCATAATATATAGTTAGTCCTATAAAAGTAAACAAAGTATTGTTTTAAAATACTTCCTGTATTGTAGTGCTGTTCAACTTTTTTTCATTATCACCCCCTAAGGATTCTTTTACAGACATTTTTTTTCTAATCACCTCCCCTATGAAATTTTAATACCAGACATATTTATATCTCTTTACATACTTAAAGTATATCTGGGCTTTGTACATTAAAAACGAAGTAGAAAGCATCCTTTTTTATTCAGTGTAGGATTGAAAATGACAAAATAAAATTTTTACAGTGAAAGTTTAATTAAAAATGTAAAAGTGATTAACATTGAACACAACTGTATAACTATTTGCTGAGAAACATTTAAAGTAATTTATTTACTTATATAAATGGTAATGTATCAAATTACATATGGAAATTAGCAACTGGTATAAATGTATAACAATGCAAACATAATAATCCTTAAAACATTCTAAATAATCATTTTCCAGCAAAAGTAAAATAATTTTTTTCAATAATTTCTTTAAAAATGTTTAGAAAAATTAAAAATTTTAAACTTCCGCTCCATATGAGAAAACGATGTTAAACTTGTATAGTTACGAGATATTCATTTAGATAGTTTGGACTTTTTTTCTTCTCAGCATTTGACATAGCAATGGTTTGAGTAACTTTTGTAGAATTGAATAATAAGATAATTCTAAACTTAAAAAACTTCTTAAAGCTCAAGTCACATGCAAAAAGGATCAAGCATAAGCAGTGGCCACAAGGCAGCCCATGGACACACCCAGACACCTCCCACTCTGTGACTCTGAGATGGAGCACCTGACCCAGGGGAGGTCCTCCAGTCACAGCCATTTATTCACTATAACTTTATAGCTTATCCTGCATACACTTGGGCTATCTTCCACTGCCAACATTCATGTGATAGCCAGTAAAACTCAGTAGAAATTAAATACTAAAGAATGAGATTTTGTTGGTTTTAAAGGGCCAGAGGCCACTGTCAGATCTAAGATTCCTCCTCCCCAGCCCCCAGTTTCCCCCTCCTTACCGTTGATAATATTCCCATTACAAAGGCATGCCTTATTCCATGGGATGCACTCCAATACTTTTTTTTTCCTATTATTTCTCTTTTTTAAAATGTTGGTCTCAACCTATTATGAACTGTGACTCACAATTTAATTAAAAAACTGTTACAGTGATAATGTAACATGGGTACGTGTTGATAAATGCAAAACTGTGTTTTAAAATCATTACCTTTGTTAAGAGTTAAGAGGAAAGGCCAGCACCATGGTTAAAATGAAGAAGACGAACAAAACCAAGTGTGGGCAATGACGTGGTGCAGTTGGCACACTCGTGTATCACAGACGGGAATGTAAAATGGTGTCACCACTTGGCAAACATTTTGGCAGACGCTTGTAAACTTGAACACATACTTACAATGTGATCGATAACTTCTCTTCCTAGGTATTTACCCAGGAGAAATAGAAACATACTTCCACACAATGATTTGTAGACAAATGTTCATATAAGCTTTATTAGCCAATAACTGGGAATAATCCAACTAGCCCTCAAAGGTAAATGAATAAACAAACTGTAGTGTGTCCACACAGTGGAATATTACTGAACAGTCTAAAAAGGATGAACTGTTGATACACAGTTCATGAATGGATCTCACAAACAGTAAGCCAAGTGAAAGAAGCTAAGCTAAAAAGAATACATACTGTATGATTCAATTTACATGAAACCTTAGAAAAGACAAATATAATTTAGACTCAGAGAAAACAATTCAGTAGTTACCTGAAGATGCTGGTGGTGGACATTGACTGGGAGGAGCAAAGGGAACCTTTTGGGTTGATAGAAATGCTCTATATTTTGATGGTGGTGATAGTTACATGGGAGCATGCATTTGTAAAAAGACAATGAATTTAGAATAGGAGCATTTTACTGGATGCAGATTATTCCTCCATAAAACTGATTTTTGAATGCCAAGAGAAAAAGACCCCTTTTATTAAGTGTCATTTTGAAATTAGTTTTAGGTTCAAAATGGTAGATGTCCCAAGATCTTTATGGTGACACTAGCGGGAGGGCTACCCAGCACTGCTTTATGTAGGGGATGAAATTTCACTCAGAGGCAACAACGTCCCAATTCTGTTCCCTCCCTGCCCTCACTCACCACGGTCTGGAAGAAGACAAGGCATGTCTTTTCCAAATGGATGATACACTATTTACATTTTTATGAAGTT